ATGAAGCGGGAGATTTATTACGGTTCAACGATCGAGGTGAAAATGGTAAAAGTGAGCGAATTCACCATAGACATCGACTGATTACATAATATATATTCTAGTGAATTCATTTTTGTAATTTTCATCTCGGTTGTAGAACCGTAATAGGCCCCCAGAGGTCTGTAACTGAAAAATACGAAATATCAATGAAATTCATCATCGATATATCGATTTTATCGGAGATAAAAAATATCGATGAGCATCGATAAATTTATCTCTCGATACATCGATATTTCGATATTATCGATTTATCGTTGCATCCCTACGCGCAATGGCTCGCGTCGCGATGGTGTGCTCGTCGCTCGTCTCCTCCCGGCATTTCTGATTGCCCGTCGCTGTCTCGCGACGCACCAACGCACGCGTGCCTTATCATGCACGTGCGTGTTCTCGAGCATTTTCGCTCGCTCCTGTTCTGAGCGCGAGGAACTCGCGAAAGCCACACGTGTGCTCTCAAATACGGAACTGTTCTGTGCGCCTCGCGTACGCCGCCGCACGCAGGGGATTAAGGCGCCATTGTGGACTCTCGCGGTCGCAAAGCGCACCACGTTACATGCGTGTGTGTGTGTGTACCATATATGCGCCATATATGCCAGGAAGCAATGATTAATACCATTAATGGATCGCTGTTTAACGCGCACCCGAAGATCAAGGGAGAATCCGAAGCTCGCGCGCGCGCGCTTGTTTATCGGCGCGCTTGTTTATCGGATTTTCATTCGTTCGGAAGTTCGCCGGGAACGCAAACGGCGGCTTGAATGTGTGCTTACGTGTGTGTCGAATATTATTTTTCCGAATGCCTCGGATAAAATGCCCTTGGGCGGGACGAGCGGAGCAAACTTTCCGCGAGATTCCGCGTACCGGCCGGCGAATAGCGGAACGAACGCACGCGGCCGCGAGAAAAGCGTAAAGCGTATCCTGCGAGACAAGTCGGTCCGCCTGTTTGCGCTCCGGCGGGAAATTCCCGGGTGAGATTTCGCGGCTTGAATAATGGCCGCGTTCTCGTGGCGCTTCAAAGACGATCTTCGCATTGTAAGAATTTAACGACGGTGCCAGAATTCGGGGAACAATAGGCCGGGCTCGAGGCGTGTGGATTTCTCCCGACGGATCACGCGAGACGGCGAGAGGGATCCGCCGACGCTGTGTAAATTGTTAAAAATACAATTCCTCCGGCTTCCTCCGGCCCAATTACCGGAGAGGAGTGAACATCTCCAGGTGGCGCGAAGTCGGCGGAAATTCTTGCCGCGATGAGTGATACACCGCGACTAGTAAGAATCGTGACGAGCGAGTTGCCGCTCGCTTGAAGGATCCGATCGACGCCTCGAAGTATGCGAGAAGCGAAGCTTCGCACTCACAATCAGACTTCATTCGTAGAAATGTCTAATGGTGTGTTCGCAACGCCACGACTCTCGCTATCGTCCCGATAAGCATTCTCGCGAAACACGCGCGAGGTTCGAGCGAGTCGAGTGAAGCAGCGAGAAATGGGAAAAGGAATCGCGTTAAATTCGTCGCGAGACGCGCGTCCGACTTGATTCGACTGGGAGAAATCGAGCGAGGGCGTTTAGGGAGAATCAACCAGCGCGATGAATTTCTCTCGTTTCTCTCGACATCCGCAGCCTGAGATCGCGGATAAAAAACACGAAGGCGAAGCTCACGCGTTCACCCATCACCGAGTGTCGTCGTCGTCGTCGGTCGCCACGACAGATGTATTAGGTGTACGAATTAATTCTCGGCCCCTACCTTTTATCGATTACAGAACCTACCTACCTACCTACTCAAATTGGAATTTTTTTCCCGCTATATAGTTATTTTAAAGTGCCATCTTTTAGCTTTAAAATGAAGTAAGATGAGGACTTGATCCTACTGTAAACATAACCTGAAAAATCAGCTGTAGCTGCGCGATGTCACTCGAAAAACAACAGTGGGATCAGAAGAGCGTGATCCATTATGAGACGCTTCAGCCTTGTCAGACTGTGACCTCGTCATTTCTGAGCTCTACCAGCAACAGATGATCCGCGTGAATGAATCCGTACTTGAAGAAAAAAAGACCGTTCACCGGCAGTGGGAGAAGGACGATGATACTGCTGCAGGATAATGCCCGGCTCTATATAGCAAAAAAAACTCTGGAAACCACTTCAGATTGAGGCTGGGAAATTCTCCCTCATGCGGCGTGTTCTCCATACTTGGCCCCTTCGGATTACCATCTACTTTGATCCTTACAGCACCACCTAACTGATTCTCAATTCAAGTCAGTTGAACAGGTCGAAAAAAGCCTCGATGCGAATTCACTGTATTAAAACCACCACCATTTTTCCGGATCTGGAATCCGACAATTGCCTGGGAGATGGCAAAAATCTATAGAAAACGGAGGAGATTACTTTGAAGATTGAGTTTGTATTTATGTTTTTATAAATAAATGTCAAAGTTGGTGAAAAACGGCCGAGAATTAATTTGTACACCTAATATTTCTACCGACACTCGCTTCGCGCCAACCTCTCTGTCACCTGAACCTCCACCGTGGAACTTTCCGCGCTCGTACGACACCCCCTCTCCCATTCCCCCCCCCCCGGGCAGACGCGCTCGTCGCTTGGAGCACCCTTCCGCGCGCAGCCGGAAGTCCCTTCTGCCAGGCCGACGTATAATAACCGAAGTGTCCCGAAACGCGCGCGCGACTCGCTGCCTGCGCGCCGCGGAATCCTCGCCGCACCCTCTTGGGACAAGGCCGCGGCAGCCGGAGGGGCTGCAGGACAATGGAGGGGCAGAGGCAGCACTGACCGAGGCGCGAGCCCGACCTGAGCCTTCGCCAGGAAACTCGCTCTCCGCGCGCGCCAGATCGATCAGGTGCCGCTGCTCGCGTCACGCTGTGTCCTGCCGTGAGGCCCGGCCCTCGCGAGGATAATGAGGATACTGAGTAACGAACGCGCGAGAATTATGACAGGGCGTGCGGAGCGAGGAGGGATCCGCAGGGGAGATCCATCGGCGGATCCGATATCTCCTCGGCGAGGACGACGGCCGCCGATAGTTCTAAGCGGAGGAGAGAGAACGGATGGCAAATGGAGCTTTGAATTATGTGGGCGGACGGAGGATCTCGCTTGCTCTCTTTCTTCCTCTTTCCTTTCAATTTCACATGGAGCTTGGCGACCCGACAAAAGTTGGCCAAATTTTACGGAGAATCGGATCTCCGCTTAAGAGAGAGAGAGAAAGAGAGAGAGAGAGAGAGAGAGAGAGAGAGAGGGAGAAAGAGAGAGAGAGAGAGATTGACTCTAAGAACGCCTCTTTCTTCCTTTTCCCGAAAGTGCGACGCGAATTATGAAGAGTACTTTTTTTCTCTAGGACCAAATCTCGCTATCGGCGAGTTTCTAATCTTGTCGGGCATTCTTTTTACACGTCTGCTTGAAATTCCATATATTGCCGATTTAACAATCGAGATCTTTCCGGGATGTCGCGATGTCCGCCGGGGCAGATTAGTCTTATCGAGGACGAGCTTTTATGCTTATATTTTTCTACCAGGCACACACACACACACACACACACACAAAGTCCTCTCTCCTCCTTCTCCTCCCTCCCTCTGTCTCTTTTTCCCGATCTTTTATCTTCCTTCCGATCGGCTAATCAGTCTGATGCGTTCGCCTTTGTTCCTCGAGTTACGCAGGTTTCCGCCACGAGGCAGTGTCGCGCACACAAGAGAGGCAGCGGATTTATCTATCTCGATGGAGTCACGCCTGAAGAGATGTTTACGAGCTGCTCTTTAAGAGCATTAAAGAACTCTCCTGTCTCGGATCATATAACGCGCGCGACATGTCGCGATTTATCGCGAATGAAGTTAAGACTCAACGGCGCAACTCGATTCCCCGTATTCCGATTGAGCGCGCCGGGCCGGGCCGGGTCGGGCCGAAGCCCGCGTTGTTATTTATTCGCGTACGCGACTCGCATTATACATCTGGCAATAATGCGCAACTCGATTCGCGACGCACCGGTGTTGTCGAGATTTCGCGACTTGTGTGTACATCGACGACGATTCGCCCGCGCCGCTTCTGTGTTTGTGCATTCTCTCCTCGCTCTAATCCGCCGCGCTTGCGTGTCTTCTTGAGCCCCGATGCGACTGATAACGCGCGGATTTATGTTCACTCGCCCCCTCCAACGAGCATCCGCGCAGCGCTGACTGCTCGAATCGCGCGTAAACGTCGCGGGCGTACGCCCGGCTCTTCATCCGCGTCGTTGGACCCTCGCCCGAGGATTAAGAGCGGAATTAACGACGAAACAACGTACAAAGTGACACGTAACGCGCGCTAAAACGTCCATGATATGGCCGAGGTTAAGCAGACGCAACGTTGCGTCCGTAATCAGTCGGAGCTTAAACGCGAAATGTAAAATTAACGCTGAAGAGCTCGGGGAAGATCGAACGCGGGAAATTACGCCGAGTACGAACGCGACATTTCCCGGCGCTCTCAATTATCGTACCATTTCGAAGCCGCCCGCCATCGAGACAGGAGACTCGTCGCGACGCGACCTGCGGCCACCCCGAAGAGGCCGAAGCGAGATCGACGCACACTTGGATCTTCGCGCTGTCCTTTCATCCTGCAGCGGCTGGCCGCGAGGCAAGAGCTTCTTGCCCCTAACCCTCAAAGGGAGTAAGGGGCGCGAGCTTGCGCCCTGAGCTGCTCGCCGAGGGGTCGTACGGGGTGCGGGGAGGGCTGCGCAGCGCGGACGGTGAGGATGGAGCAGCGTCAGGTGGGGTTGAGAGGTGAGCTTTTTCGGGGGAGGACGCGTTCGTTCGCTGCGGAACACGGAGGTGCGGGGTGTCGGTTGTCGCGGCGCACTGACAAGGGGGTGGCAGCGCGCGAGCGAGGAGACGAGCGAGAGACAGGGAGAGAGCGAGCGAGCGAGCGAGAGAGAGAGAGAGAGAGAGAGAGAGAGAGAGAGAGAGAGAGAAGGAGACAAGGATAGAGGGGGTGAGTTGGTGGTGGCGGTCCTCCGGTGGGAGAAACGGCAGACCCGGGCAGTGCAAGCCGGGTTGCCTGCCCGACGATACGGTCGCTCCGGGTTAGGTCGCGGTGAACCATCCCCCTTTTTTCGCTGCAAAACCAGCTCGGCATATCACCTCGTGCGGGAAGCGTCGCTTTCCCTCTTGCGCCCTCCGGGCGCCCGCGGCGCGCACATCCCCTTCCGGCTTCGCGCGACAGCTCTCTCTCTCTCTTTTTCGCCAGGGGAGAACAGTGGACCCGGTGAGCGCGCTGCCCGCGCCGAAGACGTATCGTGGGAGCACGTGCATCCGTGCGAGAGGTAGCCGAAGAGCGCGCTCGAGGGGCATCTCGCGCGCATCTCTTCACACTCTTCTTCGGAAGCTCGCGCTGCCGACAAGTAACAGGTTGGTGTCTCCTAGGGAAACGTTTTGAACGGCGGTCGATCTCGCGATCGATCGCCGACGGAGTGAGAGAGAGAGAGAGAGAGAGAGAGAGATTTCTGCAAGCTATACGTGCGTTCGCCAGGTGTTTAAAGCCGCGACTTACCGCGAGCTTTCCGCAACCGCGGTGCGAAAATTTCAGAGGCGAGCGCAGGTCAGGGGTGAAGAGCGCGAGTCAAGTAACGAACGGGGAGGGGAGACTGTAGACCGCGGGATGAGGTTAAATAGAATACGCCTCGCATAATGCGTGAGTGCCTTAAGAGTTGCGACTTTACGCACCGCGCTTTGCGCTGTTTTGCAATCGTACCACTGCATAGACCGGAGGGGCTCGACTTGCTGACTCGCTCACGACTCGAGAAATTGTGCAAGCTCTCCGCGGAGGTGGCGGTGAGGCGCGTCAACTATCGGCGCGTCGTACTTTCGGTGATCGATATTCAGGTGCGAAGTCGTTAGGGTGCTCGCGGTCGAACGCGGTGATAGTGCAGAATCGCGGGCTGAGTCGCGCTGGAAAGTACTCGCGGGGATCAGAATCGGGTCGGGACGGATCTCGAAGAGTATATCAGCCGCGAGCGGAGCTATATCAGACTCCTCGGCCACGTTCCTCATAAACAACGGTCACGCGTCGCGAGACTCTCGAGAGCACGACGAGCCTCCGCGGAGGGAGGGGGAGGGGGGGCAAAACCCGCCACAGTTTGTGGTTAAAAGTAACAGGTTGGCGGTCGGAGAAATTGCTTCGCGTCGCCAGCCGTCGCGATAGTGATCGATTCGCGAGGACGAAGGCGACGACGACGCGACGTCGGTGTGGGAGAGCTAACGAAGCGAGAGGACGGATGACGCTCGACGGCGTCCGCGGTCAATCTCGGCCAGTCATGAAACTCGACGTAAATCGGCGAGCGTCGAGGAGCCAAGTAACAGGTTGCTAGTAGCAGATTAGAACGGACCTTTGTCTCGCGTGTTCGCCGAGCGTGCGATCGTTATTATGTTGGCGAGCGGACTCGGCCGGATTATTAAAGCGTCGGTCGTCCTCCAGGACCCCTCCAGGATCGGGATCCGATCGCGTTTCGCTTCGGCTTGCATCCTGTAATTTCGCGGCCTCCTTAGCGACGTGCAAGCGAGTTCGCTCGGATCCGCCTTCTCGCTTTTCCCGCTGCGAATTTGCGTAACAGGTTGCTATTCCAGATTCGGCGGTCGCGATTTTCAGATCGCGACGCTCAGTGACAATCCGCGCACGAACGTCGCACGAATGTATCACCCTCTCTCTCTCTCTCTCTCTCTCTCTCTCTCTCTCTCTCTCTCTCTCTCTCTCTCTCTCTCTCTCTCTCTCTCCCTTCGTTTGGAGCGGATTCGCAGCTCTCGAGCTGCTCCGCAGCATATCCGGCAAATACATTGAACGAACGTCGCATGTGCGCGCTTTTATTCCGCACCATCGCCGCGGATATGAATTTTGTTATCCGGATCTGCATAATCCGTCGTGACTGGTTTCTTGTGTCGCGAACGAATGCGGGATTTATGCTACGCTGATTTGCAGCCCCTCTGTTGCGTAGATGACATTTCTTCGGGGCAGATTACGGGGTAGGCACGCTAAACAGCAGCGGAGACCGAGCTCTTTCCCCGACGAGACGTGCGCTAACTGCGACGACCGCGCCACGCTCTTCGATTCTAATACTAACCAGTCGGTAATATCGAATATCATAACCTACGGCGCGCGCGCGCGCGCTGCGTTGCGTAGCGCTCATAAGCGCAGTAATTATTTCAGGAATAATTACTTGGAATATTCCGCAGGCGAAATCGATGCTTTAATCGGCGGACCGTAACACTGCGTTGCGCGAGTTTACACATAAGAGGTACGCTTCTCGCTTTATTCATCGCGCAATTCTCCCTTCGGACATACAACCACGCGCGCTGACGGAGAGAGGAGAAGCGTGTGTGTGTGTGTGTGTGTGTATGTGCGGGAGGGGGCGGGAAGGGCGGGGAATCAATTTTTGTCCGCGTAAAGGATAAAACCGTTTTTACGCGCCGGACGTATAAACGTCGTACGACACTTCGCAGCAAACTTTTCTTGTCCGCCGTGCGATATTTTATTACGACGCTTTCGTCCTTATTGCGACGACGTAAGAGAGAAGCGGAACTTCTTTACGAGCAGTCCTCTGCAATTACGGGCAGCGCATATAGGAGGGACGTAATCTAACTTGCGCGATGCACGCGCGTTACACGAACTTGTGCGCGATGGCGATTCTAAGCCGCCGCCTTCCGTCTTCCTAAATTTCGCCCGATCCTGAATAACGAGGATGCGCGCCCCACGTCGCACGTCCTCCGGGAATCTTTCAGCAAACGAAGCGGATTTCGATAGCGCTCGGGCAAAGCCGATAACGCAATATGGCCGCCGATACGGATAGACTGTTATCGTCCTTCGGACGTGGAGCGGCCTGCTCGCGGAGCGACGTCCGCGCGCGAGACGGAGTTCAGCCGACCGATCACAGCTTCTGTTCCAATCGAAGCCGTCCCCGCGAGTCGCCTCCGCGAAGCGGACAAAAGCGCAATTAGCGGAGAATTTGGTCGCGCGAGTGCGCGGGGCCGCCGCTCGCTTGAAAAATCACATTTCCCCGCGACTTTAATTGAAACGTCAGTTCGCGCGCGAGTCAGTCGGCCGTGCGAAAATCACCGTGATCTCGAAGCGGAAAGTCAGAGAAACCGCGCGGACAATGGCCAGGCGGCGCTTTTTCTCCCGCGGGCATTCAACGGACGCGCGGCCACGATTTCGAGTTCCCGCCCGTTCGACCCGTTCGCGATCGCGAGACCTTGAATGGTCCTTACGTGGAGTGAGCGTCGCCGTTAATTTCCGTTGTCAACTTGTCGAGCTGACTCGCTGATTCGTGACAAACCCCCGTCCGGCCCGGCCGGTCGGTCGGTCGGAATTCTGCAGGCTCGTCAACTATCTGCGAAATTGCTTGAAAAAAGAGAGAGGGGGGAAAAGGGAGAACGCGTGCAACGCGCGCCACCCGAGAGAGACTTAACTATGCGAAAACGCGAAAGTTGCGTTATTAGCTGGCGCGGTCGAATTTTCGAAGCGGCCTCGTTATCGGCGAGTCCGCGAGCGACTGTAATAAACCACGCCGCGTTTCGCGGTCATCGAGAAGCAATAACTCGACGAAGAGCGGAGCGGAGCGCTCCGGGCGAGACGTCAGGGAGAAGCTTGCGTTACCGCGGGCGTCTTTCCTCATTTCGCAAATTACCTGCCGCCGCGTCCGCGCACCGTCGCGATTCGCCGTTCGCTCGTGCGGAGTTCGCCGTTCACCACCTGCGAGCCCTTCAGGCTGGGCTTGCGCGCGGAACTTCAGAGGACCCGCCGGAACTCGCCCAGCGAGCTGAAAGGCGACCTCGCCAGCGGCCTTCTACGCCAAGCCGGCGCGTGCGAAGACAGCCGGACTGTCGTTTAGCCGCGTTGCCCTCGAGATTCGCTTCCGGAAACGAGGTGTCGCAGCCCGCGAGTCTCCGTATTCGCCGTCGCGCTGCCGAGCTACCGGATTCTCGTATTCCCTCTCTCGCTCCCTCTCTTTCTCTCTCTCTCTCTCTCTCTCTCTGTCGCGAAACTTCCAGCTGCGATACTTTCTCACGATTTCGAGGATTCAACGAAATCGCATGACTGCGTTCGTGTCTGAGAACAGCGTCTCGCAGTCGCGGAGGGCGGAATCGATTGCCGAAGGCGGCGGCCGCGGCCGCGGAATCGGCCGAGTCCGTAATTCGCAGACTTCATCTCAGCTACGACTTCGTGCTTGAGGCGAACTTTACTCGTTACGGACTTATCTCGTCTTCTTGAGCCCGCGGCATATAATCCAGCGCTATCTGCGTGTATTAAAAAGCACGAGGACCGATTCACGAGCGCTTGGTGATGTCGAAGAGATGCGCGCGAGAGAACGGCGTCGAGAGCGAGGCAGCTGTTTTGGCCGGAGGAGAACGGCGTCGGCCGAGCGGTAAACATCGCCGTAATTCGTACCTCGTTCTCGTTGCCAGTGGTATTACGTGAAACTCCGCCGGCGAGTAATCGCCGAGGAAGTCTTCGTCGCGCGCGCTCCGCCCGAGCGCGAATAGTTGGCGGAGCGTGAGTGGCTCTGCAAATTGCAGCAACTTCGTCGACACATGTTCGCGTTTGCGTTCGCCGCTCATATTTCCCGCTGGCAACGCGGTTGCGAATATGCGAGAGAGAGAGAGAGAGAGAAGGAGAGAGAGAGAGAGAGAGAGAGAGAGAGAGAGAGACTGCGGGGAGCATGCTTATTCTCGAAAGGCGGACTCACGGTCGCCTCTGAAATGATCGCGAAGGTAAATTTCAAAAGAATCCGCGGCTCTGCATATTTACACGTGACTGTAACGAATGCGCGCACGTGTTAACGATACGTTTGAAATTATTGTTTCCTGTTCAAAAGACGCGTCATCGTCCGCTCGCTCTCTCTCTCTCCCTCTTTCTTTGTTCCCCTGTTTCTCTCATCGCGACTCTCACGCGGAGAATCGTATGACGCGCGGACGAGAAAGCTTTGGAAGAAAGCTTGCTGTTGAAAGACCTGACGGAAAAGGACTGGAGGATTCGCGACTGCGGGGCGCTTTGAAAGCCGAGCCGCTGACGATGACAATGTCCGAACGCGCCTCTGTGACGAGGAATCTGCCCGCGGGAAACGAGGTCAGTCGAACGGCAAACAACGCTACAAATCTCAGCGCGGATGTCGTCTAAGCGGGAAAGAGGGTCAGGGTCGAGGTGTCATTGTCCAAAAGTCAACGCGCTCCCGCACGATTTCTCGAGGGGAGAATCCGAGTCCGTCGAGCGAAATCGCGGCTGCGGCGCGCGATCGTCCCTCGATTATCGTCTCATTGCTCGACTCGCCGTCTTGTATTTCCTCCGCCGACGAAATTCCAGATCAATCTTTAATGCTAGCCAAACGCGGCCGTCCGATAGTTTCGTGGATTAGCGCGCG